AAAATCAAACATAGAGCTATATGGTAGCACTAGGTGCAAATGGTAGGGTTTGATTTTATATGAATTTTAGAAGTGGTTTCATGCAAAAAAAGAGTTAGGGTTTAGAAGTTATGTATTTTAGAAGTTTATTCTATAGCTAATTAACTAGGTGGAATTTTATATGCATTTTCTGGTGCACGAAAATATGTGCAAACTACATGGTTAATTTTCCTAATGCATCTAGTTTATATACAAATTTTCTGGGAATTTTTCTAAGCTTGGAAAATGCATTTCTAACTCTCTGTGTACACTAGCCAGGGTGTACCCAGCATTTTCTAAAGCGTACCCTGCGCTATGTGTGTGTGAGGTGTGGGCCACCAGCTTGCGTCAACAGTGATGGTGGCGTCGGCGTTTAAACCATGGGCCCACGTGTCGGTGGAGGAAGGGGAGAGAGGGAGAGACTGACGGGGACGGGCGGGGGGATGGCAACGTTGTTTCCTCCTTGTCCCACCTGGCGGAGACAGAGAAAGGGGAGGAGGGGCGGCGGCGACAGATGAAGGTGACCGCGTCGGTGACGGAACAGGGGAGGGGGAGCAGGGCTCGTCGGAGCGGCTTACGCCTACGGTGTTAGCCCTCAGGAGTGGTGGATGAGGGGTGGACGGGGTCCATAGGGTCACGCCGCAGCCGGTGGCGGGGTCACCGTCGGCAGCGGGTGCCCATGGCGGTGGTAGTGGCTCGCCGGAGTGGTCGTGGTGGCGCTATGCACTAGACTTGGCCCTAGAGGCCCTATGCTACTCAGCTAACTACGTTGAAAGGTCCTAATGGCTAGAGGGGGTGAATAGCCTATTAAAAAAAATTCTACAACAACACTTAACAAAACGGTTAGACAATTATGAGGCAAAGCAAGTGTTGCACTAGCCTACTAAAAATGCAAGCCACCTACCACAATTCTAGTTTATATAGTTTCTATCCACACAATAGCTATGACACTACACTAAGTTAGTGTGCTCTCAAAGGCTAACTAAAGAGCCACACTAACCAAACTAACAAGCTCTCACAACTAGCTACACTAAAGAGCTTGACAACTAGTTTACGGTAATATAAAGAGAGTGAGCAAGATAGTTATACCGCCATATCGAGGAGTGAACCAATCAATCACAATAATCAATATCAATGAAGACCAATCACCTCGAAATCAAAGGATGAATACAATGATTTTTTATCGAGGTTCACTTGCTTGCTGGCAAGCTACTCCTCATTGTGGCGATTCACTCACTTGGAGGTTCATGCACTAATTGGCATCACACGCCAAACCCTCAATAGGGTGCCGCACAACCAACACAAGATGAGGATCACACAAGCCACGAGCAATCCACTAGAGTACCTTTTGGCTCTCCGCCGGAGAAAGGTCAAGAACCCCTCACAATCACCACAATTGGAGCCGGAGATAATCACCAACCTCCGCTTGACGATCCTCGTTGCTCCAAGCCATCTAGGTGGCGGCAACCACCAAGAGTAACAAGCGAATCCCGCAGCGAAACACGAACACCAAGTGCCTCTAGATGCAAACACTCAAGCAATGCACTTGGATTCTCTCCCAATCTCACAAAGATGATGAATCAATGATGGAGATGAGTGGGAGGGCTTTGCCTAAGCTCACAAGGTTGCTATGTCAATGCAAATGGCCAAGAGTATGAGCTTGAGCCGGCCATGGGGTTTAAATATAAGCCCCCACGAAATAGAGTTGTTGTACCCTTTCACTGGGCACAACACGGGGTGACCGGACGCTCTGGTCATATCGACCAGACGCTGGACCTCAGCGTCCGGTCACGCGATGCGTGCCGCGTGTCCCCTCTCTTCAAATGTTGATCGCTCGATCTCAACGGTCAAGTGACGACCAGACGCAGCAGCTCAAAGTGAGCGGACGCTGAACCCCAGCGTTCGGTCATTTCCAGTAAGCATCCAGAGATGATTTTTCATGACCGCTCGATCGGACTCACCCAGCATCCGGTCACACGGTGACTCTTCTGTGCGCTGCCACATCAGCAGGATCGGATGCACCCCTCCAGCGTCCGGTCACTAAGTGACCCAGCGTCCGGTCAAGAGACCGAAACTGTGCACCCTCTATAGCCACTAATCGGACGCGTCGGTCCAACCGAGACCAGCGTCCGGTCACTTACAGTGACCTTCGTCTTTTCTGTCTAGGGAGCCAGTGGCACTGTCGGACTGTCCGCACTCTACGGGCGGACACTCCGTCGGTGAAGATCCTAACCCTTGCTCAAATGTGCCAACCACCAAGTGTATCACCTTGTGCACATGTGTTAGCATATTTTCACAAATATTTTCAAGGGTGTTAGCACTCCACTAGATCCTAAATGCATATGCAATGAGTTAGAGCATCTAGTGGCACTTTGATAATCGCATTTCAATACGAGTTTCACCCCTCTTAATAGTATGGCTATCGAACCTAAATGTGATGGCACTCGCTAAGTGTCTCGATCACCAAAACAAAATGACTCCTACCATTTATACCTTTGTCTTGAGCCTTTTATTTTTCTCTTTCTTCTTTTCAAGTCCAAGCACTTGATCATCACCATGGCATCGCCATCTTCATGTCATGATCTTCATTTGCTTCACCACTTGAAATGTGCTACCTATCTCATGATCACTTGATAAACTAGGTTAGCACTTAGGGTTTCATCAATTCACCAAAACCAAACTAGAGCTTTCATACGTGTACATGTGTGCGGGTGAACAAGAAGTGCAGTGGGGGTGACGATGTGCCCTAGGGTGGCCTCGCCGGTGATGGCCGAAGGCCATGGTGGCTCGGCGGAGCGGGGCTCACGCGGACAGCGCAACACAGAGACCTAAACTAGAAGAGGAGAGGCTTGGGGACTCACCAGTCGCTCCAATCGGCCAGAGACGTAGCGGAGAAGAAAGGCAGAGAGGGCGGCGCTGATGGTGCCGGCGAACTCCAGAAAGGGAAAAAGTGGAAAAAGAGGGGAAAGAGAAGGGGAAGAGGAAGAGGAGGGGGAGATGGGGTGTTCCCACCCTCGGCGGAGCTGGTGGTTGAGAGGATGAGGCGAGAGCTCTGCCGTCCGGGCCTATTTATAGGTCGGCTAGGCCGGTGTCCCGGCGGCGAGATATTTCTCGCGGTCATCCTTATCCATCACGTGGCCACGCCGTTGACCTCGTCGAGTCACATCGCCATGGCTGGCGCTTGCTCGTGCGCATGCCGGAGTTGCCTTGGCGGCTACTCAAGTGGCTCGGCACGGCGACGACCATGGCGTCGACGGTGGACGCGTTCACAGTGAGGGGGAAGAGGGAGGAGAGGAAGAGGGGCGCCATGGGGTCTTGTTGTCGCTGTGCCGCCGTTGACGTCCTGCTGGCACCGGGGTGGCGTTGGCGGGCGTTGACACGGGCGCTGTGCCGCGTATGGCTGCCGGCCACTAGGTAGGCGATGGAGCTTACCGGCGGGGCCCGTTTGTCAGCGGGAGGGAGAGGGAGAGAAGGGGAAGTGGGCGAGGCCGAGCCGAGCTGGGCCGCAGCTTGCTAAGCCAACTCGCGCGGGAGGGAAGGAGGACTGGAGGAAGGAGGAGGAGGGCTGGGCTGCTGCTGTGAGGCGAGAGGAGGGTGAGGAGGAGAATGAGCCCATGAGGCTTTTCGTGTTTCCAATTTCCTTTTCTATTTTCTATCTCTATTTGCATATGTTTAAATGATTTCAAATTTAAATTTGAATGCATGAGTGTGTAAAAAAAGGGTGCCACCATAAGTTCAACAAGTCAAGCAATCATTCACACACAAGGTTGCACACATGTATTTTTATGTTCCTATGTTATTTTATTTGTAAAAATTATTTAGGTTAGCTATATGTGTTGTCTCCTTTGTAAAATTTAAAAAGTTTAAATTTTTATTGATTTTTAAAACTAGGTCAAATTTTTAGGGTGTTACGTAAACCATGCCATCTAAGGCTTGTAGTTGCACCAGCAAGAGCTATATCGTTTGCTTTTATAACTAAGGTGCATGAATGACTTTTCCCTTACTGCTTAATTTGCCCTGAAAACACGAAACATGTGGACCAATGGAGTACAACTTAGTGACAATTATTCTAACTATATTTCGCATTGCACATGGTCTATTTACATAAATCTTACAATGGCATAATAGATAATCCCTCTGTCTATGAATACAATGTGTTTTTCTTTACTTATATTTTACTTATACAATGCAGATAAGGCTACTGTTTTTGCTAAAGCAATTTTAACAAAATTTTTTAAAGTAATATATAGCAAAAGGTGTAGGAAATATATTTTGGTAATGTTTCTAAAATTACTTTCTTGTCATCGACCTAACATATAGTATTTGTATTAGCAATCTATTCAGTCGCATCATATATATTAATTTATATAAATAGGGGTAGGATTTTAGTTACTTATATCAAAGACAACACTATTTCTTGTGGTGAAACATATCTATTTGGGTTCAAGTATTCAACTTAGCACGGAGGCTTGAATGTTTCTAGAATTATTTTAGAATTTAATAATATTAATATTACAATGATAGACAACGTGTACGTTGATCTTCCAGCTCGGTCTTTCAAAGGTGGGAGTACGATTCACATGTGACCTTTTTATAGAGGTGAGTGCACACATGTGTCTGAATACATTTACGTCTATACTTTGAAATAATTCATAAAAAAATCCCTAAAAAATTTATTGCTAATAAAAATTTGGATAAATCAACCTCACAGCAGAATTTGTCTGCCTAACATCTTATTCGGAGAGAGACACTGCGACGACCCTTACGCCTCAATTGCAGCCATTCAAAACTTGTAATTGGCATTCAGGGTAGTCCCCACCTAGTGTTAGGTGGGACCCGAGGGGAATCCTTGACTCTAGTCCAGAGGCGACATCCAAAGATCCAGTTATTGGCAGATGCTCAGATAGTGAGATGCCACAGAAAACAATGTTTTAAATAGTCTCTCTCTTTTTCCTGGTGCTCGTGGCCGGCGTTGTTGATGTTCACTGATCTATCGATCCTCCGGGCCTAAACCGGTCGAGGCTGCTGGCCGACTGGAGGCCCATGTTCCAGAACTCGTCGTAGTACTCCTGGTAAGTGAATGAGCGGTAGGCCAGAGGGTGCCCGTCGTCCACCAGCGCGTCGGCCGGCGCGATCACCGCGTCCGGGGACGGGCAGTAAAACGTCGGCACCGAGATCCGCTCGCTCTCGCTGTTGACGATCACGCGGTGGAGCACGCTCTTGTATCGGTCGTTGCTCAGTGCCTGCATCCAATACAATACAATAGGCGAATGAATTTGTTAGTTCAGCAAGTCCAGATTACGATCGTCTTACACTGGCAACAAGAACGACCAGCAGTTGCAACTTGCAAGTGAATTGAAGTGTTTTGTGTTATATTACCTGCATCTGGTCTCCGATGTTGATGACCAGCGCGTTGGGCACGGGGTTGACGGCCACCCAGCGGCCGCCACGCTGCACCTGGAGGCCGGAGACGCCGTCCTGGAGCAGCAGCGTGATGGCATTGGGGTCCTTGTGGCCCGGCAGCCCGTAGGTGAGCTCCGGCTGCGGGCACGGCGGGTAGTAGTTCACCGCCATGTGCTGCGCGTGCCTCCCCATGGCCGCCACCATGTGGCTCCGCTCCAGGCCCAGGCTCTCCGATATGGCCTCCAGCAGCCTCAGCGCCAGCGCCCTCGCTTCCGTCGCGTAGGTGCCCACCACTTCCCTGTCAAGCAACCACCACGTACGACTTGTCAATTTTGCCATGCTGCATGCGTCGAGCTGTATTTTTCGGTGAAGGAATAGCAACAAGCCAACAACACGGTCGACTTTCTGTCATAGTCGTTCAATTGTTTGTCTTTTTCATTCATGCTTTCAGGAATGGTCAACGTCGAACATGTACTCATTTCAAGTTTCAGTTTGACAAGTCGTTCCTTTTGTTGAAAAGAAAAAAGGAAAAGCTTGAGTTTGACAAATTAACAGGTCATTTAGTTGATTTGGTACGAACGGACCAAAGACACCATTGTGCAGAGAACAATCAGAAAGCCGTAAAGTCAGCTAGCTGCACTGCAGATCGAGAAAACACAAATTCAGAGACGGATTGAGAATGGATGGTCACCTGAAGGACGGCGGGTTTGACGGCCACTGGTCGACGAAGCTCTCGAGCGGGTAGCAATGCAGGCGCAGGAAGTCGCGCCAGTTGCTCACCTTCTCCGTGCGCACGTTGAAGCTGGTGGACAGCCGGATCGCCTTCTTGGGGTCGTCGGAGTAGCACTTGAGCCGCTCCGACTCCGGCAGGTGGAAGAACTCCCGCGCCACGCGCAGCATCCCCTCCACGACCGCCGCCGGGATGCCGTGGTTCGTCACCTGTCCACGTACGCTAACCAGTGTCAGCCTGGTTGTTAGTTTGTTCCATAAGGTTCGTCACTTCGTCGTGGTCCGTTACGGTCAGTACGTACCATGAAGAAGCCGTCGGATTCGCAGGCCCTGCCGATGGCCTCCACCACCTTAGGGCGCTCCGGCCCGTTGAGCTTCTTGAGGTCGATGAGCGGGATCCCGGCGCCGGACTCGTTGTCGACATTGGCGAGGTCCGGGCGGTCTCCGACAGGCCTGATGTGGCTCAATGGGACTTTCCCGATCTGTGCCACGAGATCGCTGAGGAGAGGCTTGGAAATGGCTGGGGCCATGTTATGTTACCGTGAGCTAATTAAGCTCGCTCTTGGGGCTGGACGAAGCTGGATTCTGCTGTGTGCTGTCAATTTTTACTAGCTACTAGTTGTTGTGGTTTAGCTCGTGCAATGGCGAATTTGTGCTGGTGACATAGCATGCTCCGGTTTGCTGCTTTTTATAGGCATCCCGGTGGCTCCACTGCGTCTCAGCAATATTATAGGAGCACTAGATTGCCTGAACAGCCGAACCACAATGGTTTGTCGGAGTCGTAATTGAGCTGTGGCTTAATTTCACAAGCGAAAACGACCGAGAGAACGACACGTCGACACGCCGGATCACCTTCATCCAGCTCGAAAAATGCCGCGTGATTAATCTTGGCAGCCTGGAGAACGAACCCAAGGTTTCCAGTCGGCTGCCGACCAGGACTTGTTGGTTGCCGCCCGTGTTCTCCATCTAGAGCACTCGCCGTGCCTACCCATGCCACCTGAGCCTCCAACCCGGCCGTGACGAGTGACGACGGGTCGCCGTCGTGCCGCGAACGTCAGCGAGCAGTTAGACCTTGGCCGTCCCGGAGCCACAGTACCGACACGCGCTCTACTAGGCGGTGCCCACCCGCATGGCCGCATGTGCCGCGGCGGATGCGCCACTGTACCGGACGATGGCCAACAACCTTCTTTCTGTGACCGGCCGTCGCGCGCGAATCATATGGTTGTTGATCGCCGAGAAAAATATCGGCGCGCGCCCCACGCATCGCACGCTACAGCCGCAAAACACAGAGCGGTAGGGGCCGGGCGCACGGCCCATCGTTCTTCTTCCACGGTTCAGTACCTCACGTACATGGACTGTGGGGGAGCCGCCGGCCGATTCGGTCGGCCGTAGCTTGCATGCCTCACGATCACTGGTGCTCGTTCGGATGGTATGCAGCACAGTGTTTTTTGGATTTTTTTTTATGATTGAATAGTATTCTGTGAGAGAGAATAAGCTGAAAAAGCTGGAAGTATATCAGCTGAACACGGTCGGTCTTTCGTGGCCCCGGTCGGGGTCCGGGGCTAGCCGCTAGCCTAGGCCTCGCTAGCACCCCCTGTGCAGTGCACGCAAGAAGAAAGCATCGCATCTTGATTGGAGCTTGACGCGGCGAGAGGCCCGGCCCCAACAAATCTGCCGACGTGTGATGGAGGTTGCTCTCGGCCGATCGCCGGATCCAAGAGCTGAGTAGTGCGGCGCGCAATTTGGCATCTCCGTGAGATTGAGAAGACGGCCGAGCCGGGAGATTGCTGAGTTGCTGATGATGTTGGAGATGCTGACCTGCTGTCGTCAGTCCCAGTGACGTTTGCTCGATGACCTCATCCATGACAATTTTTTTTTTCTTCTACATGGAGGCTACTAGTAGTAGGCAACCGGCTACGTGTGTGCAGGTAGGCTACCAATTCCAACACTGACTGGGCGGCGTCCAATGCGGCGGTTTATACAAAGTACAACGACGGGTGGTGCCGTGCCGGCGTTGCAAAAAGCTTCCAATGGTTCCGTCCACCGGTTTGTTTATCGGCTGCGTTGCGGCGGCATTCCACGTTCGGCGTCCACGGTCGGCAGGCAGCAGCCAGCAGTGGAATCGTTCCACTTCCATTCCATCTCGTGAAACACCTGCACGACAGCAATCGGCTGACGGGAGAAAAGCTGAGCCTGAGAGGAGGCTACCGCCTGCATCTTCTCATCGCAGTGGAATCGCAATCCTAGCACTAGCAGGCCCTGTAGTGATTTCTGCACTTGCCGTGTTCTCTCAGTTATCACTTCGGACTTACGGGGAACGTATGGTCATGTCTTCAGTTTATAATATAATCAACTCAGCTTTTCGAAAATAATATAATCAACTTTGTAAAAATGCGTTGTGCGTTGCGTTGTGATAGCTCCCTGTAGTGTACCGCTGTGCTGTCAAGCGATCGTACCAACTTTTTCTCAGCAACAATCAAGAATAACCTATACACCTGCGTTTTTATTGCATTCTTTAAATGGATGAGAACTACAGTACAATTTATTGCTTCCCTCCGATGACAAATAACTGATGTTCTGAGCTGTCTTAAGGCAATTATTATCTAAAATATTGAGTATGATTTATCTTTAATTCTATGCATTAAGTTGGAATGCCTGAATGTGGTACGAGTAAGTTTGTCTTCCAAAGTAGCTCAACATAATAGTAGTAGAGTAAAAAAAAGGACACATCTAACGCACGGCCGGCCATGCATTAGGCCAACCGCACAGCTGGCTGCTCCTAGCCTCTCTCTCTCTCTCTCTCTCTCTCTCTCTCTCTCTCTCTCCAACCTCGCCCTTGGCGCTGCCCCCTCCCGCCGTCACGGGCGCGCTAGGGCTTCACCGGAGCTCCACGGCCACAGAGCTTTGGCGAAGTCCTAGCGCTGGCCCAGCCGCTTTCTCCCCCCCCCACCCACTCGCCGGAGCTCCCCGCCTTTGACTGCTCGACCACCTCTATCGCCGCTAGGGCCCCTCAACCGCTCGCCAGCCATCCCCACTGCCTGGTCAACCTTCCTCCCCCCAAACCTTCCCTTTTAAGCAGGCGGGAGTTAGGGAAGATGAAGAAGGAGAGTTCGCTGGAACCCTAACTAGTAGATCCAGGAGGAGGAGGAGGAAGCCGCCAACCTCACCAGCGCCGCGGCCGTAGGAGCTAAACCCGCCGCCGCTAAACCCTCCAGAACCCCAAGCCGGTGCGGGTGGCTGCGCGGGCGCGGGGAAGAGCTTGAAGGTCGTCAGAGAGAGAGAGAGAGAGAGACGGACGTGTGTGGGCGTGCACGTGAGTTGGGGAGGTGGCCGTGCGGTCTCCCTAGAAAACATTCGACCGTAAATAAGTCATTACCAAAAAAACATTTTTTTCGTGCCTTTCCGCTCTTTTGGAATTTGGTTTTCCTCTTTCATTGACTTTTATTTGTGTACGTCATTTTGCAATAAATGAAATTTGTAGTAATAAGCATATATATTCTCAGACTAAACCAAGAAAGCCGTCATTCGGTACCTTTCAGCTCTTTTCGTTCCGTGGCGTTCATCTTTACATAATTTACATTTTTTCTCAGGTTGAACTTTGTATAAGTTGATTCTCTGAGGATTTGCTTTAGCAAATAATTTTGGTGTAGCCATTCTTCATTCAGGCTTGCAATGTTGCAATTTGTGAATATATACTCCCTCAATATTTTCATAAGATAAAGCATGTTTTGGACTCATCATGGTCTATAAAACTGGATTTTAATTCTTGATTTCAACTCTAAGAAAATATTTTATATATAAATCCAGTGACATAAACATATACTCCCTTCAGTTTTCAAATAATTAATTGATGTTTTGGACAACGAGACAATCTCCAAAATGTAGCTTTGACCACTATTTTCTGTTAGGATATAAATAAACATCTTAACCAATTTGTGCTTTTTTCGAAAAAAAAAAACCAATTTGTGCTTTTATAAAAATACTCTATGACAAATTTATGCATATGAGCATCAAGTTTGTAAAATATTACTAAAAATATTTTTAGTCAGACCTTGTCCAAAACGTCTTATCTGCAGCCTGGACGGAATAACCGACTTATATATCACTTGAGACCAAATGTTGGTTTAAACTTACAAATGCTTGACTCTTTAAATATGTGCATGTCTTATGAAATATATTCCCTACTCTCTTTTATGTAGGATTGATAAGCGTAGTTTGACAAGAGAAGGAAAAAGCTTAAAAATACAAAAATTGGAACAAACAATTAGTCAAATTATATGTAAGTTTAGGACATAATTAAAACTTGTATCAATAGATTTGTACTTAAAGTCTTTAAGATATGTACTTTTTTAGCAACTGACAACATAATAATGTAAAAGAAACTAAAAGTTAAAATCTAAATTTTATGACTTTTCTTTATAAAAATACACCATCTCGGAGGGACTAGAATGTACGGCGGGACCATCCACTTCGCACTATGGACGCACGAAATTCTATTTGAATGAATATTTAGTTGTCACACTGCCTTTTTCTTTCCCTTTCATGACGACATACCCACCGAACAATACTAATATTAGGAGTGCCTTTCTTGAGGTTTTCATGCTCTCTAAAGAAATATATATTTATGCAAAGCTAATAAACAGATCAAAATGCCAACGTGACTGGTGTGTGCTGCGGGCCAAATAAATTTTTAGTGAAATTGATGTTAATGTTTTGTGCTTGTACGTTACCAATGCTGTTGAACTTGACAACTCTGGCTGCCGACCCCAACGCTCTAGAAAACACGATATTCGTTTCGTTGAGATTTGAAAGCAAAAGTGTATCTGTATATGTCATATATGAAGTTGAAATGGAAGCGGCTCCGGTGGGTGATGGTTGGGTGACCTGCGAGGAAATAAATACTTGGTGACCACCGGTGGGCCACTGGCCGGCGGCCGCATTTTCCCCGTTCTCACCAGAAGCATGTCGACTGGGCCACCGGATGATTCTAACCCAACTACGAGAGGGAAGGAATAGTGGCGGCAACAAAGCCCAGTTCTCTGGTGGGTTTTGAAAACGAACCAACTCCAGCCCATTTTATAATGGGGCAGACAGAACAGAAGACATTCGCATGGAAGAGGAAGACAGACTAGGTGCCCAGCCCACAATTAAAAAAACAGAGAATGTGTGTAACTGGGCCTCAGGCATTAGAGCCCGAGAGATTCCGAGCGTACGAATCACATAAACTCCGTCTTATTTATACCCAACAATACCATCTGAGCTAGCTTATATAGATACAGCTTAACATTTTGTTTACGTGGAAGAAAGAGAAAAAGGTGAGAAGGGAAGAAATGACTCTTGATTCCACACTAAGCTTGCTTGCATTACGATTAGATATGAAAACGGAACAGAAAGAAAAATTCTGTCACATCCTATTTTCTCTTCTTTTTCACCCGCAGGAGGAGGTTTCTTATCCATTTTCCGAGGATCCCGTTTTCATCCTACAGACCCATATTTATCATGTCTTTATCTCGTTTTTAATCTACGAGAG